CCTCCCTGCAGCCCGAGCCGGAGAAGGAGGTGTGAAACAGCAGAGGAATGGCTATGAAATATCAGCCAAGTGTTTTATTCCCATTGCTAGCGCTATTTAAAATAGCTGTAGTGCTGAAGCGTGTCAGGATGTTGTGAAAGTTGTGACATGTGCTTGCGTAGCACTTTATTGATCCCAGGTCTTGTTCTCGCTTTCCTTGTAGTTCATCTGAAACTGGACGAAAGAAGAGAATGGATATGGGTAACCAACACCCATCCATAAAACGGTTGCACGAGATACAGAAAGAAGTCAAAGAGATTGAACAGCAAGTGGTGGTCTTCAGTGGTCTGTCTACTGATCGAGATTACAAGAAATTAGAAAGGAGTCTTACTAAGCAGCTTTTTGAAATAGATTCTGTAGACACGGAAGGAAAGGGGGATATTCAGCAAGCCAGAAAGCGAGCTGCTCAGGAAACGGAGAGGCTGCTTAAGGAACTGGAACAAAATGCAAACCATCCGCGCAGACTGGAAATAGAGGCTATATTCAAGGAGGCACAGTCACTTGTGGAACGCGAGATTACACCTTTTTACAAAGGAGGTAACCATATAAGTGACGAATTTGAAGAAGGCATTCAGGACATTGTATTGAGGCTTACCCAGGTGAAAACTGGAGGGAAAGTTTCTTTACGCAAAGCAAGATACCGCACTCTGACAAAAGTATGTGCTGTTCAGGAGATTATAGAAAGCTGTGTAAAGCAGCAGCTGTCCCTGCCACTCTCTAATGATGCGCATCCTTCTGTCTCCAAAATAAACTCTGTAATGTGTGATGTGAACAAAGCAAGAGGAACTCTCATTGCGCTTCTTATGGGAGTGAGTAGTAATGATACTTGCAGGCATCTATCCTGTGTGCTTACAGGCCTCATTGCTGATTTGGATGCTTTAGATGTCTGTGGTCGCACGGAAATAAGAAATTACAGAAAGGAAGTAGTGGAAGAGATCAATAAACTGCAGAAATACCTGGACTTGGACGAAGAAGCAAATTCTACTCATGCTTATGATTTGGCACAAAATCAGTCCATTCTAAAGATAGAAGAGATCCGCAAGAAAATGAAGGAAGTTAATTCTTTACTTTTAAAAACAGAGAATGCTTCTGATTTGTATTTGGGTTCCAAAGCAGAACTGCAGGGATTAATCGCCCACTTAGACGAGGTGAGTCCAGGAAAAAACCCCTGTATTAGAGAAGCCAGGAGAAGAGCAGTAATAGAAGTTCAAACTCTTATAACATACATTGATTTGAAGGAAGCACTTGAAAAAAGGCAAATGTATCCTGAGCAAACTGCTGCCGAGCATCAGTCTCATAAAGCAGTTTGGACTGTTCTTGGAAGCTTGTCTCAAATTCAGAAGGAGGTGATTTCATTTGTTTTTTTTTAAAACTACATGAGATTGGAAGAACTTCTTACGAAACAACTTCTAGCACTTGATGCTGTTGATCCACAGGGTGACGAGCGGTGTAAAGCTGCCAGAAAGCAAGCAGTAAAGCTTGCGCAGAATATTCTTTACTATCTGGACATGAAAACAGATGAATGGGAGTACTGAAACAGCCATGGCCTAACACAGAAGAACATTTTTTTTCCTTTGGCACTTTATGCAGATCACTGGCAGCCCATAATAAAAGTGGTGTGTTCTGTGCTTGCTTAAATCACGGAGATTGCATAAGCAGTTGACTTGGCTATATGTCTGCTATCCCACGCAGTCACCCACTTGCCATGGCAACTGTCAGTACACCATCAGCAATTCTGGTCATTGCTATAAGCAAAGAAGTGCGATTCTCTGAAGGAATAGCTTAATGCTTGATCAAATGGCTTCTTTTTTTTTTTCAGTTTTTGTTTTAACCTTGTGCAATGTTCAGTGAATGCAGATTTTTCAAAGATGCAGAAACTTCCTTATGGTACAGTACTGGCAAAACTGTTTAAAGAAGACTGGACATGAGAATTGGTATTCAAGCGTGAGGCTCCATCCAAAACTTCACAGCGGTCTGGATATACTCTTCACATGCTGTTACGACAGAAAGCATTAAGGGCAAAAAAACCTGCTGGCTTTTGGGTTGTACTTGACTTATTCCACCCGTCACACCTTTCTGGGTTAGATTTCTCAGTTAATGGAGCTATAATGGCAACTGCAAATTAGCATTTACATAGGCAAAGCCAATTATGTCTATTTTTTGTAACACCTGAGCCCTCTGATTTGCAAAAACAGGTCTTCTGTTGGTGGAAGCTCTTTCAATTTATTGCTTTAAGGTACTGAGACATGGAGAGGAAGATCTGTTACGTATATACTGACCAGATAAATGGGATTTCAAGGATTTCACAGTGTCATCCATAAACCCCTGAAAACTGCACTGAACTTTCTTTGGTAGCTGCTTAGGTATCTTTTTACACTCTGCTGTTAGATCTGGTTTTGACTTGTCTTTTCGCATTTGGTGAAAACAGAAACAATTCACTTTGAAGTGAACGAGCATTTTGGAATTATTTTTGTAAAATTAGGTAGCTAGCTATAAAGATGTCCCTAGTGATCTAAATGTGTGTTATATTTCATACTGGTCAGGTGTGGCTTCAAGCATGTCTTGGAAAAGACTTGTGGCAAATGTCTCTCCTTGCAGCTCGCCACTTAATTGTCTTAGTAACTTTGTAAATAAGCTTGCTTGTACTACTGTGTGCACCTACCTTTTTATTTGCGGCTGCTAGTGCCAATCACATTTCTACTATAGCATGGGTTTTGGCATTTTTTTGAGAGCATGGCATTAAAATGAATTAATTATAAAGATATATTTAATTATGGATACTTTGCACTTTGCTCTTTCATGTTGAGTTAATGAATTATTGTTCTATAGTTGATCTTTGCACCACTTTAAGGAGTAAAAACCATTTCGGATGTTAAAATAAATATTTTTAGATATATTTTTGACTGATGAGAGAAAACAATATCGTCTGTGAGAGACAAGTGCCTTTATGACACCATAAACTTGCGCCGTCATATGTAGATATAGGGACTGTTTACTGGCAGCTTGATACATTTGTAATCTTTGCAAACTGGATTTCTCACATATATACGATTCTAATACAATATAGGTCAAATTAGCATCATACAATAGGTGACAATTGTTCTACAGAGTCCTGAGAATGGGTATCAAATTTGTGAAATACGGATTCTGCTTAAAAGCGATGCATTGCTGTGGAGATGAGGGACTTTGGGCAGGTTTTCTGTGCCTATTGCTACAAGAAGGAGAGAATATGTTTGCTCCATAACATGCTTTAAGATGTTGATGAAAGGCTGTGTGACTTCAGAGTGTGAATATATTTTGTTTGTGATTGTACAGGTGATTGCTTTGCAATTTTACTTGCCAAAAAGGTCTATTTTTTCAATTAAGTACAGTGCCTAAGGCATAATTTGGCAATGACAGAATGTTTGTTGGAGGATTCTCTCTGCTCCTTCAGAAATACAACCCTGTTGAATTTCTCTCTCCTTACCTCAAAAAAAATCATTTACCCTAGTTAAAATTCCAGTCTATATTTATGTATTATGTGGCTAGCACAGAATATTAATGTTATACACATAAATTATTTTGCTCATTTCAAGCTTTCTACATGTTTGAACTGCAACTTAGATTTTTAGGAAATAAAAAAATTTGATAGCGTAGTGATACTATTACTCATTTTTTCTTTAGTATTACCGTCTGGTCTGCAGCGGTTACTTGTAGATTGTTTAACAATTTAGTGTCCATGTTCTTTGGAGGTTACATGTAGCTTTATAAATGGTTGGACCTTTTAACGTAAAAATGAGTAAGTACAGTTTTCAGATCTGTTCTATTTTAAATTTCTATGTCTTTTAGCTTTTCTGAATGCTTACACCTGCGTCTCTAAGAACGCAAATGTGTAAGGTTAATGTAATTTTGCCTAACTGAGTAGAGTTCAGTAGCAAGGTGTTACATGAGTTAAGCTTTTTTTCCGTTGTTCTGTAATCTAATAAATTGACTATTTAAATTTCATGGTAAAATCCTCATCTAGAATGGGATTCATTCACAGTTTTTGCATGAATGAAAATAATAAACTAAGTATGTTTAACCAAAAAAAAAAAAATATTGCACAGATTTCTCAAAATCTTGCTTTTGTGCTGAAGAATGTATTTTTTCTGGTTTTTATATCCAAAGATTGAGGGGCACACAAATTTTCTTTCCGATACG